CGCCTCATAAAGTTTTTAAAAGCATAGGATAGTATGGAATAAGCTAAGTGAACTAAGCTGTGGAAATGAAACATAAAGAATAAAGATGGAACAAAGAAGAGTGGGCAAGACAGAATCTGCATCCTATACATTCGTGAAAATGACTTTAAGGGAAACAATGGGAAAAGTAGAGAAGGGCTGAAGAGACGTTTAATCAGTAGCTCTCCATTTTAGCCTTAAAAATTTTTGTTTCAAGCTTGGCAGTTTCTCAGTAGCCTTGTCTGTTAACTCAGCCTCAGCCTGTGCAATTCCCTTATCTACTTAGAAGTGAAAATTTAAAGCCAAGCTGCCATATCAAGTACCCTTCACTGATTGCTTCCGTTGTGACTAAAGGAGCAGTAGGATGGCCCCAGTCCCCTCACAGTGCAGTCGGTGCTGTCAGTGTCACAGGTCTCACAGTGGCACGCTGTAGCTACTGGGTATGAGTAAAAAGATTCAGGGTGGTCACCGCAGCCAGGGATCTTCACTGTTTCATACACAACCTCCTTGAAGGTACATATTTGCTGAACAGATGAGACCGGTGGATATTTGTAGACTGGATCCTGAAAATTGTGAGAAAGAAATACTTATTTTGAAATTTGTTAAGGAGAAGAATGCCACATTTTCACAAATTAGATAAAAAACCTGATGTGAAACCTAATAAAATAGTGGGGAAAATCCCCCTAAAATCAAAAGTATCTGGATCTATGGATCTATATATTTCTTCTTTCAAGAGAACTGGCCAATGGCTTCATTTTTCAAACTCAACAGAAAGCAGTGATCCAGAGGATCATACTTCCAGCTCTAGTTATACAATGTGACTGTAATGTATGCAGCCAAATAAAGATCCAAATGTGCATCTAATTTCTTATCAAACAACAGAGCAGTTATTCGGCCCTTTGTTTCACAAGGCTAATCTTGCTCATGTCCATTATAAACTGGACAAACAGCTTGTTCATACCTCACTTGAATACTTAGTTAAGCTCATGACTCTCACCCTTGTGAAACAGTATCCTGAGCACCACGTGGCATTCACCGTAATGCAGAGTTCACATTCTTCTCTTTCCACTGCTATAGTAATATTGGTGAGTTCACAGCTATAGCAACAGATTGCTTTCCAGCAAAATAAAAGCACGTAACAGTTGAGCGTCTTCATCCTGTGCACAAAGCAGAAAGTGTATTTGTACTGTCAAAATGTATAATTATTGTTTACAGGAAGTATTAATAGCAGAGATAAATTAAGTCTTTACGTTACAATCAAGTGTTTCTATTGTAGCAAACCTTCAGCAACAGCTCTGATCAGTGAGAACAGAGGGAAAAGTCATTAAGTCGATCTCTCTGTGTATGTATAGGTTTTCCTAAGCAACTGAAATCGTATATCAGCAATCCTTGCAGAGCAATAGCAGCTGAGCAACATACCACTTTCAATGAAATATTTTCTCTAAGTTTCTGTATAGAGAATGTGTCCTGTTTTTCAGGAGAAAGAAAAAGAAACAAGGGGAAAAAAGAGAGCAAAGGGTAACCTGATTTTAAAAAGAAATTAATTGTATACAGCGTTTGCAATTCGAAAAAAATATTTCCAGATCAGAATCTGATGAACACTCACCTGTATTCAGTAGAATACTGTGCCTTCCTGATAATAGCTGTAGTGAGAAGAAAGCCCCAAGCTTATCTTTTTATACTAAATCGTGTGTAATGTATACCCAGAGGATTTGCTGTGCGTTAATGGAGCAAGCATTAGTTTGGTACTTGGTGAAAGGGGATTAGTGTTCAGTCAGACAGTGAGATCATGTCTTGTTAAGAGGAGAGAGAAAAATCAAAACAGATTTAGGAAGTGATGGTGAAGGTCACTGTCGCAATGTCATTTTATAAGTTTCCCTGGATTTTATTCACTGGCATTTAGAGATAGCTGAGCCGTTCTATAATTTGGAATCAGACTGAGAAATCTATTTTTGTAAAAGTTTTCTTTTTCAGGTGTTTTAATTGTGTTTTATGTCAATCCCAAACCGATGTGCTGGAGTGCAAGCTGGCCCTCTGTTAACTCACAGCAGAGATGTTACCAGAGTGTTTTTTTGGTTAATGAGAATGTTCCTGATTTTTTCAGTGTACCAGTCTTAACTGCTTTTCTCTTGAATTAGGTTCGAGTGACTTTACTCAGCGGGCTGCAAAATGTTCTTGTTTATTTATCAGTAGTCTGTGAAGGCTACTATTCTGAGTTCTGAGTTGGGTGACCCAACTTTTCTTTACCATCTAAAATACAATTGTGGCTCATCAAAGTTCAGATTTCTATCCCACTATGTGCAGTTCTTTTCTGTCACGTGGCCTTTTTTTAATTTTCTTTTTAACTTCGTTAAGGGATATTTGTATTGTGGAAAGAGACTGTAAAGATGACATGATTAGACACCAAGGCTCTGTTTTCTGTCAGTGATCTCAAATAAAGTATTCTCATGCTACAGGGAATCTGGTAATATTCCCACTTGGCAGTGATGTAACACAACTTGAATGCCTTCCCTAGTTTGTGATTGCAGTAGGATTTTCTACTGTGAGAAGTGCTGCCTGTTCACTGCCCTTTTCCTGCTTTCCCAAGTGAGTGATGTGCACCTCTTCATCAGAGTAATGACAGAGAAATAACTCCGTGGAGCTTCACATACAGTGTCTTCTGGGGAGAATGACTCACCAGAGCGCTGTATTTACCATCACCTGCCCAGAACAGCCAGTCTTGCTTTGTTATGACTGTTCTATTATGGTCAGTCTGACTTTTGCTGAAATCCATTCAGAGCAAAAAACTAAGGAAGGACAGACAGTTAAAAGCATTTCATCAAGAAAAGAAATTCTCATCAGCTTATTAGCAGTCCTGCAGACAGGATGCTTTTCAGAATGGCTTTTTCAAGTGAACCCTTAAACTTTCTGATACCTTCCTGTGGTCCTGCAGTCTGGCCACCTGTTCCAGTTCCTACCCACCCTGTAATACCTTAATTTGTTAATGAATTTCCTGTCACAGCAAAAGTAGAAGGTGATCTGCAATTGTTCCCTAGGCATACCCTGTAATAATATTTCTGTTTAAATCAAAACACTGTCCAAACAAGTGTAGAAGGAAGTCATGAAAGTAAAACCCTTGTTTGTTTGTTTGTTTGTTTCTTTTTGCTAATAACAAACTTTGATAGTTGGCTGGCAGTCTTTTCTGTTGTTTAGAGTCAATATAGTCATGCTTCTCAGGAACGGCTCTCACTAATTTCAGAGATGCCAGTTTAAAGCTGACACCTTAAAATTAATTACATCCCTATGGAGGATTTGGCCATTCTAAGTACTAATTTGTGCATATTAAATAAAACCAAGTAAACTATGTTTGAAGAGGGTAGCACAGCAAATATCTGTTATTTGTAAAGATCTGCTTCGTGATCTGAGGAAGACATACTCATTTACTAAAACCTCAGTTTCATGAGCACAGTACAGACTTAGTCCCTACCATGCTGTCTTCTTGCTCCTCCAAGTTATCTCATTTTGGCTCACCCAGCCTCTTCAGTTGTGGCAACATGAATTACAGAAACCAAGAGCTCTTTCTTACTGAAAGGAGGAAAAAAGCAAGCAACCAATGCTCTTCTATAGCATTGCTTTTAATCTGTATTAGCTTGTTCCCAACAAAATGAACAACTATAGCCACGTAATTGATGGGACTTCTTGGTAACGCAGGGAGAGGTTAACAGGAAAGGCTTTGCATAACTTTCCTCTGTAGGATTCCTGAAGCCACCTTGTACATAGAAAACAAACTCTTGTACAAGGCAGATTCCATTGTCTCACTTCCTTGGTAAGTGTTTCTGTAGTCATCAGTTCTAGGTTGATTAACAGCCATTAGCTCTGCTAAATTCCTTGTTTAAGACTATGAATGTGTATCTCCTAGGCGAGTATGAAGTTAGAAATTAAGATCAATTTATTTGCAATCCGTCATCTGAGGAGTGCTAATTTGGTGAGCAGTTGTTACTTAAGGAGTAGGGATTTTGCTCCCGTATGTTTTAAAAGATGAGTTATTTCTCAAGTTGGGGAAGATGCTACATTTAAATGTTTAAATATATTTAACACGTTCATCAGTCCTGGAGATTGAGACTCCAAATTTTTTAGAAGTCGTGGCAGGCATCGCATTCACATGGCTGTATTAATGCCTTGTAGCATCTCATGGAAATAAAAGGCTTCTTTCCATTGCTACTTGTAAAAAAATTCTTCAGCTGATTCCCTTGGACTGTTTTCTGCTTCTTGCTTTGTTGTTTCTAACCACTCCAGCCAGAAGTAATGTGACACCTTCTGCTATTGTTTTCTATTTTATTTATTTACCTACTTACTTATTTGCAAATGCAAACTGAAAATGTTGTGGTTTTTATATTCCTTAAACTAGTGAAATTCCTTTTTTCAAGAAAGGTGGTGGAAATAGCAGCAATTTTGTTGCTAGAGGTTTTAAAACTGCCTTGCTTTAAAGAACGTGGATGATATCTTTCAGAGAACTTCAGCTTCTATGAAAGTGCTATTGGTAAATGTGGTTTTATGTGTGCTGCTTATCCACTATGAGTAATCTGAATCTGTCCTGTCAAAATTTGCTTGCCTGCAAATTATTCCAGAAGCATAACAAATCTAGCTTCTAATATACATGTTTTTAAAAGTGCCAAGGGACCTTGGGTTTCAGTTTGTGAGATTCATGGTTGTAATTACATGTTTTAGATCTTGTCAAATAGATACATTACTGGGGAATTGTAATGCTTTCTTTACATGGAAGCTATTTCTCATTGAAAATGTGCCTCAAGGCATTTTTAAGGACGCTTAAAATTGTGGTGTAGCTGAACTTCCAGAACAGAAAGAAGAACTGCTCCTTTGAGTTTGAAGTTGTGCATTTCACTGCCATCAAGTTCTTTTGTGTGAAGTTTCTTCTGCATGTGGCAACTCTTAACTGAGTGCCCCCCCCTTTCTTCTGTCTGTCCAAATCTATTTCTGTGCAGGTACAAATTCAGTCTGTATTTAAAGCAAAAGACCTTTTTGCTACCCCAGTGATTCACTAATTAATATCCTTGAAGTACACGGATTCCTGAAGCACAGATTGAGAGGCAATTTGCAATCTCTTTGTGGAGTTGATATTTCACAGTACAGCAGCACAAAGCTATATTTCACTGGTAAGTAAGTTGACTGGAGTGTAATTTATCCCCCTTCTGCTGTTGCTTACTGCTGCTGGGAGACGACTTCTCTCATTGCATTGCCTGTCTTGGAGTTTATTTTGATTCTTCTTAAATTCAATGGGGAAAATGTTATTGGGTTCAGTAGTAATTGCGTTAGGTAGTTGGTCACTATTGTTCAATACTACTGTTTAATTACCCACCATTGGTGCTACAGAATTGTGAGTAGCTTGTGCCTGCCGAGCACAAAGCTGGATAGTTGAAACATCATCATGAACTAAGGAGTTATTTATTAATGAAGAATTGCAATCCTCACTCGTATGCAAACAGAATATTTCACCCTCAGGAGCACGAACAAAACGGCAGAATGCACTGACTGCCTATCTAATAGTGCAGACCTGTGCAGCTTCTGAGATGCCAATTTCCATTGCTTGGCACAAAGCTGGTATGTCTTTTTCTTGAATACCCACATGAACTGTTAGTCATTCTAAGTCATGTAAAAATTCTCCTTGCAATTGACAGCAGCAGAAGCTAATCCTTCTGAAATGTGTTTAATATACACAGGACACTACAAAGGACAATGCAGGTGTTCATGTTACTTCATCCATTTATTTCTTTCCTGTGGTTTTGTCTCTTGTGATTTTATGCCATGTTTCTTAATATATAGCAGCTGCATTTTCTTACCCTGTTTAGTGCTGGGATTCATAAATTGTTCAGCTATAGGCTGTTGTAAAACCACTGTGTAACCTTCTTGTATAAGATCCTCTGATAACTGCAGCGGTATCTGTTAGTAAATATGTTGATCCAGACAAACACTGAATGAGGTTAAAAAATTGTGTATTTGTTAAAAATGCTTTTTTTCTTTTTTCTTTTTTTTTTCCCTGACAGACTAAGGCAGTTTGCATTCTTTCATGTTCGACATCTCAATTTGTTTCAGAGTATTTTTTTTTTCAATAAAAAGATCTTTCAGATCTTGTGTGTATGAATAAAAGTAGCAGTTTTGATCCTGCAACTGTCCTGAAGCAATACTGTTTTATATTCATCTTTCTGAGTCTGAATAGTATTTATTTTTTTTTCTGCTCAAAAAGAACAAGACGTTTTCATGGGCTTGACAAAATAGATTGGTCCTATGAGAAAAGAGCTGAAAAAACAGGGGAGAGACTTAATGGACAATACCTTTCTATTCATATGTGCCACTAATATACAGGCAGCAAGGATTCATTTTTATTATGGAAGCAGTTTTTGGGTCCACATGGATTTGTTGTCGAGCTGTTGATGGCTAAAGAGAAGAACCATTTCTCCTACGGTGTAAGTTGAAGGGACTAGAAATAGGGGCATCAGGCTTTATCTGATAGGATTTGTTATCATTTGATTCTTGTGCAGAGCACACAGAGGTGTGCAGCTCTGTCACACTCCAATTCAGGTTATGCCTGTGTGTGTGCCATTAAAGAAGGAACCATGCTAAGTGTTATCATCTTTCCCACTGAGCAGCAAAGATCCCTCTGGATTTACTTGGAATCATGAGTTATGAAGAGAGGAGTTTGGGGTGAATGGAAACAAAACTCTCTGAGCGACCTGGCTGCTTTGGCATACCTGAGAGGCATACCTGAGAGTCTATGAGCAAGAGGCTTTTTGGTTTTCTTTCTTGCTAGTGTGCATAACAAATAAACATGAAAAAAAAAGCATTTATGCAGAAAGCATGCATTTCTTCAAAAACAGCAAGTTTGTCAGGACTGCATCTTACTCACAAATGGACAACAGCATCTGCTGATTGCTTTAAAACTATATGGCTATGATACACAATAAGGCTTATTTGAATCTTGCCACTTTGTGCATTGGTAGCATTCTGAAGTTGATGCAGAATGATTCAGCACACTGGATAACTGAGAAAAAAACTCTTTTTATTTGAGTTGCTAAATAAAGTCTTAGGCTTAGGTTGGAGATGTCTGACCCATATTCGTTTAGCAGATGCAGACATTTTTAGGTCAAGTTATTTATGAAAAGTAGGTTGAAGAGTCAAGGAGAATGTATATATTGCCACCTTCAGCTGTGATTTTTACTTCCTATCTGACCAAGTGTCTCTACAGTGTTAGCTGTTTTTAAGGATTCTTGGCATACTGTCTTGTTTTGTAAGGAAAGAACTGTGGCTTTGTTGGCTTCTCTGCCTGTGCCAGAACTGACAGTGTGTCTGTGAGAGGGTGAGAATTGAGTTTCATACGTCTGATGGAAGAAGCAGTTGTCTATCTCATCCCTCCAGATATTTTCTTGGCTTTAGTCAAGCCAATAACTTAGGATTTCTGGTTTTTTTTTTTTTGTTTTTGTTTTTGTTTCTTTCTTTTTTCTTTCTTTTTATTGCAAGAGAAATTAGATTCCAGTTCTGACTTCCAACTATCCTATGTTGCTCATTTCTAGAGGAATTGGCCTGGCCCTGCAGTGTGGTTGTTACAATGCAGAAACAATTGCGTCTGTAGTTTTCTAACAATCAATTTAAAAAAGAAAAAGGAAAGGGAGAAAAAGAAACATTAGTGATGCTTTATATCATTAAATTTTCAAAAACCACAGTGTGATAATCAAAAATTACTTTCATTTAATTGGGTATTGCCTGCTGAGGGCTGAACTGGAGAGGAAAACACAGGCAATATATTTATTCAGACAAATACAGATTCAGAAAGCTTTTTTTAAGGTACGATGTTTTAGGTATTGTGTAGTTAACCTTCTGGATTTGAGCTTTCTTCCTTTAATGGTCATTGGAAGTTGAGTAGAGAGAGCACAAAGCAGCTTACGAATCACGTCATGTCATCATGCCTTTGTGCCTTCTCCAGGCTACGGAGGAATCCAAGAAGTATTGTTTCTGAGAAGCAGCAGGAAGATGAAACAGTGTTATAGTCCAGGGGATGCAAATTATAGTGACCAGAAGGAGTAGCTGGGAAGGTCTAATAGGTGGAACCTTTCATGTCATGTACCTCAAAGCATGAGCTGCACCAGGCTATGGTGGCATGCATTTAGAGTATTTGATAAATACTCTTGAATTCATGTGATGTCAGAACGTGGGAAGCTTTCTTGGGCCAGAAAAGTAATGCTACTTAAGAACTGGAACTTCTAAACAGAGTCTTGGTCAGATTGGCATCAGAAAATACTTCCTGCAGTTCACTTTAGGATCCTGGAGTCCCTCTTTTCTTGCCAAGAACCATAGAAACAACTTATGTCTCTTGTTAGGAGATTGGGACCCTTTTCTTCTACCTCCATGGCAGGTGATAGGCAATGAAGTCATGCTTGTAGGCAGTTCTGTTTGGAACTGGAGCTGTGTGGGATGGCAGACAGAGCACCAGAGTTGGCAGGGAATGTTGAACCGAGCTGTGGGAGGGAGGAACAGGGCAGGGATTAAGCAGGGCAAGTTGAATGAACCAACCTGTAAAATGAAGGTTCTTAAGTGTGATTAAAATTATCTTGAAATTGGCTACTTATCGTCACTGATCACCTTTTACAGTGTTGATCTATGTTGTGTCTGCTTCAGCACAGTATTAACCAGCTGTTTGAAGTGGAATAGTCTAAATACTGCCTGTTTGGCTTTGCAGGGATAGGAAAGTCACAGAGCAGAAATCCGTCTGTAATCTCTGTAGTAATGCCTGAAAAAGAAACAGTCTTACTCAATTGCTTCAATAATTATATAAATGAGCAAGATCATGGTTGCTGATAATTAAAAAGCTTTTTGTGCTTGTTGTAGTGCCATCTTGTGGTTCTTGAGTGAAAGTTCATACACTTCTGAAAGTTCACAGCTAAAGTAGATTTTATTCTACAGCATCGTGACAAGCAGAACTAAATGATAGTTTAGAACTTAAACAGCTCTTTAAGCCTCCTGTTCCTTGGCCAGATTCCTGCCGTGTTCAATCCTTTCTTTATCAGGTAAAACCTCTGGGCAGAAAGTTCTGGAACTCTCACCAAGGAGCCTGAGGAGTGATAATACAACAGTCTTTAAGTGCAGTGACGTTAATTACTTCAGGCCATGTTACTTGTCCCCGTGCATAAAAGACATATAGAACTGTGCTCAAGAAAACATGCTTTCTCTTTACTTTCTCTCTGAACTATAGAACATTAATGTAATCATTCCTGTTGCTATCTTAAGCACAGAATTTCTCCCAGAATGAAAAGGGGAAGTGCAGTCCTCCTGCTGCTTATGTGCCTTGCTTGGAACAAAGGAAAAAGGTCTACAGGAAATTGTATGAACTGGTTCTCTCCATCTCATTTCCACCTGCTCACTGCAGGGCTTGTACTCTGAGAGGTAGCTCTGATAACTTCAAGCAGTCTTTCTCTTTCCTGTTTTAGGAACTTCACTCACCTTATTATTGTCTAAACTTGATGAAAGAATGGTATTTACTCTGAGATATATTCCTTTTGTTTCAAGGTCATATTATAGAGTACATTATTAGCAAACATCTGATGCGATTAGGTTTTACTGTTGCTTTCAACGTTCAAAAACTAGGAAATGTGAAATAGCATTAAAATAGTTATCATTTTGCAGCCTCCTGTTTTGTTAATGTTGTCCATGTTTCCCATTGTGTTTTGCTATAACTTCTCCCTTTTTATTGCATACTGAAGATTAGCAGTCATTTTTAGAACAACATGTACTTGTATTCACCTTTTCTTTGAATACTAATTTCTATTTGAATGGCTTTTTCATAAAGATACTTCAGAAAGAATCCGACGGTTTTTCATCTATAAAATTCCATCGTGACTGTAAATATTATGAATCCCACAGTTGCTGGCCATGTATGATTGAATAGCTCCGAAAAGATGTTTTTGTTTAACATTTCAGTTTCCATAGTTAGCAGACATAAAGTGCTCAAAAAATGCAGAGAAGGCAGAGCACTGAAAGGAACTTCTGCTATATAGTTTATTCCAGAATCCTCTGGAAAGACTGTGCTGTGATAGTGCCATGTACACAGTCCTGGAAGAAGAGGTGAGGACTTGCAGCCCATTGATTGTCAGTGGGCAATTACATAGGCTATGGTTTTGGTAGCCTTATGAAATGCTTGAGTCTTCAACTAGGTGAAAACTCTTAGATCTGCCCTGAATTGAAAGGGTACAGGAGAGGCAAGACAGTGAACTTTGTGTCTCAGTCATCAAGCTGTCTTTTTTAACCATCTTGAAGAACAAACAAACCAACAAACAACAGAAGGCTCAATATCTACTTCTGCAATCAGTGAAAATTCTGTCGTATGTCCACAGCCCTTCTCCCATTACAGACAACCTTGTTATGACTTCAGGTGAGATCACTGGCAGAAGTATGCTACCGTTCTTCTGTGAGTACAGAAAGTTAAAGGTGCTGATGAAATGAACCGATTAATTACCTTCTGCAGACTGTAAGAGAAAACCTTTGTAATGAATTCATTGACTGACTAACTGAAGTGATTTTGTTAGTATACCGTTTCAGGATTAACTAAAGCAAAAGTGGGATCAGAAAAGTGGTGGTTCTAACAATGGGGACTGGTTGTTACTTTCAGTAATGACTTTAAATATATTAAAGCCATTTTATCTGAATGTCTTTGAAAGCAGATATTTTAAGGCTGTGGAACTGTCCTGCATGTTCTCATGCATAATCTTACCTCACACGTGTGATAATGTGCATCCTAGAACATCATATATAGTAGAGATGATCCAGTGCTCATGAGACCTATAAGCTCTGAAAAAAAATGCCAGCATCCTGCATTCTCAATTTCTGTTTCTGACTAGCAGTGTCATCACCTGCTCCTACGGACTGGAGATTATTGTAAGACTTGAATGACCTATTTAGCTGTTCTGAATTTTGAGTCATTGCTTTTTTCCTCCCTCATCTGCTGAATTTCTTCCATCCCACCCCCTCAGCATAAAACAGAGGAAACGTGAAAGATTATGTACTTTTGTGAGAGACTGATCCCTGTATGATTTGGGATCCCTTTATAAGAAAATTAAG